TCTTTACCATACATTCTTAAAAAAAAAACAAAAAACAGAAAAACCTCTCAAAACTTCATGTTTTCCTTAATGAACTTTGATTTAATTAGGCCATGATAAATTTGTATATAAAAGTAGAGATAACTTCTTGCAGGTGAGAAAACTGTCAAAGAAAATGCTTCTGCAGACCATAGGAAAAATACGGGCTGGCTAGAATTGTGAAAGGAAATGTGACAAAATTCTGGATAAATGCTGGGATTATGCAAGCAAAGGAAAAAAAAAAGTTTGCAAGTTTTCTTTGGCAACTTGGTTCTTAATGTTCCTGTACATGAAACCTTCTTTCTTTCCAAGTTCCCAACACCGTTACACTAGCTTCTGTCCTTAACAAGCTTTCCACTGGGCTTTGTTTACCTCTCCTTCTCTCCCCAGTTTACCTTAAGGCTTAATTTAAGAGCCTAGCAGGAAATGCTTAAGTAAAAGAAATAAACTTGCAGAGGAAGACAGGTAAAACACTGGGCTTGCTTAAAAATGGATTACTTTGATGGAGTTGGATTTGATACTTATTTTTGGCAGTGAAGGTGGTAAGTGTGTTTGTGTGTGTGGTACACGGGCCAGGAAAGGAAGGAGAGGTCTGCACAGCAATGGCACGTTTCCATTGTTTATGTTCAGCATTTTAATAACGTTAGTATTTGCACAGCTGAAGGAAAGGAAAGCACCCTGAGAACAGACACCATGAGGAACCCTAGAAGTTTGCAAACCAGGAAAACATGAGTTGGGAAAGAGCCATAAATGTTAATAAGTAAAAATCACCTAAGCCAAGATAAACCTAGTGTTGGGATGCTAAATTTCAAACAGAATCAAAAAGGAGCTCGTTGAAATAATTATTCTGACAATTCTCAACTCTGCTTCTTTATTTTTGTCATGAAGATATCAATACAGAGATATTCAGAGATCAGGAAGTTGGAGATTACTGAACGGTATAGTGAAAACACAAAAAGCCTTTAAATGAGAGAAAACAACTTTTAGTTCCGTTTCCATACTTTACAAGTATGATGCATAGGGGATTTTACTTAATCTCTCAGAACCTCAATCTCCTCATCTGCTAAACAAAGGCAACGTTTAGCAAACATTAAGGAAATAGTGGCTGTAATAGTTCCTCTTACTATTGGTTGCTGCCCTCGGGCCTCTATCTGTCTTGTACTGTCTCATTTTGGCCAGTAGGATAATCACCACAGCTCTGCTTATAATGATTCTGCCCTGGCTGTGGGGTGGTAAGGGGATCAACTGTAAACAGGATCCTCCTCAATATAGGAAAATAGAAACAATGGAAGGCATGGCAAGCCAATTAGCCATTAAGGAGAATGCATAGGGCTTTTTGCAAAAACCAAGGCCCATGCTTCCACAGACAGCCTAACCAGCTGTGAATTTTCACACATTTGTTATCTCTTCAAACAGATTCTTTCCTTTCAGGGTTACCACCATATCAGAGGCCCTGAAGCCTGGTAAAGAACTGATCATCCTCTCAGATTTGTCACTCAGCGCTGGCCTGCCTGCTGCCCTGTTTGAGTTCTGTGTGCATTAATCCAGAACTGAGCCTGAGTAACGGTAATGTGCTGTCTGCCCACCTAGCAGACATTCAGTCCCCACATCCTGGGCCCATGGATCCTGCCCTAATCTCCAACTGCCCACAGCCACCTAATATAGACTGAAAATGGGACAAGGAGAAGCACAGAATTAAAAAACAAGTGCTCAGTCAGAAGAAGATCAATGCAGACCTTGTTTACCATTTGGCTATGGGGCTCATGTTTACCACCGGCTGAATAAGGTTGCTTTTCATGGGGCCTCATGGTGTGGATTTTTGTTAGGTGGTATACTGGCAGTAAAATTCACCTTAGTTAATCTTTTTTCTCTTCTAGCAAGTGGTAAAAGAGTTGGAAATTCAACTGTGGCAGGCCAGAAATGGAAATAATTTGGTTAAAGAGGTGTTGAAAATCTCTGCCAGAAACTTCTTCCTCACTAGCCTCCCAAGGCACCAAGTTCTACCATTAGAATCCCATTATTTTGCCTACAAGAAAAGATCCTATCTTGTCTTTAGCACCAATTAGTTTAAAATACTTAGGACTTTGAGGGGAAAATAAAGTATTACTATGTTGAAATTGAGTTTGGAAGGTGCTTCAAGGACAGGAATGATTAGTAGGAGCAGTGTAAGTACTGAGACCCTGGGGGTAAGAGGGATCCTTTTTTAGGGTACAGTGTCTGTGTGTGTGTGTGGGTGTGGAGGGCACCAAGAGAGGTGGGCAACCCTGGGTCTTAGAGGTGGGAGGGTGGGGGCTGCAGACAAAAGGAGATTGCAATATGACAGATTTGAGGGATGTTTAATCTAGAGCCAGACCTCTGTGCAGATGAAATAGAAATATATTAACTGACTTGATTTAAAATTTAAATGCACTGGCTTTCAGAATGGACCACCTGAAAATGCTGTATAATAATCATTAAAGTTATTTTTAAAATTTAGCCTTTGTGTCATGAAGCAAATGGATATCTTAAAGCTACAATACTAGTGATTTATTCTTCCTTTTTTTCAGAACAAATAATAACTCAAAAACCAGAAAGCTGTCAGAGATTTGTATAAATGAGCTTAAAAATAAGGCAAAACAATTTTAGGTATAACTGAGAAATAAAAACAAGTAAGTTATATTCTTCAAAATTTCTAAAATCTTTTAAAATAATTTCCTTTCATTTTGGAAACCAGAGTCAACATAACAATTATTGTCTGCTACGGACATCATTTCAACCCATAAAACTGTGCATAATCCCAAGTTGGAAACATATAAAAGTGACCAAATAGGAGTCTTCGTGAATATATTTTTATTTTTTCTGAATAATGTGGTTGATTGTTCGAAGGTCTAAATCTTTCACATTGCAGGAATAAAATAGTTAAGGAAAAATTAACCCTTACTAAATTTTTATTAAGTATCATGAATGTCTAAAATTGTTACATATAAAATGTTCATGGTCATGTGGTAGAAACTGCTACCTCCACTTTACTGATGAGAAAACGTAGAGTTTGAGAGACTTGACAAAGAGCACACCACAGTAAATGCTAAAGCCAGGAATATATTGGCAATTGAGAGATCTTGAGAGGGAATTTCAATTCATTGGCTTTGGCTAAATGGTTTTCACTGGCACTTAAGTAACAGCGTCAATGCAAACATTTGCTTAGAAGCAATTGCAATAGGTTAGCTTAAACCTACCATTTACTACCTTGAACTGTCAGTCCTATGATCAGGCACCTCTTTCAGTCTCATACAAAACAACTTCTCCCTTAAGTAGCCACTATCTACTTATACTTAAGTGACTGCTCACTTACTACAATTCTATTTTTCCATAAGTGTTTAACATAACAGGAAAAAATTCCAAACTCAAGCCAAACCTTAAGTTCATTCCACAATTAATCTCCAACTCACTCATTTATTTGTTCATTCAATGAATATTGAGTGCCCACCAAAATGCTAGACACAATTTTTGCTGCTTAAGATATAAAGCCAAAGTCCTTATGAAGTTCATATTTTAACAGGAAAAAGTGATACCAGAGACCGATAGATAGATTCAGACAAAATAATGTTGATCTGTTCTTGTGGCAAAAACTGAGTTTTCACCCAGTAACTACTACCTTCTTTGTCAGTAAGTTACCCTCTGAATTTTAACTGGGCACATGGCCACCCAGAATAAAACCTACATTTCCCGATCTTTCTTGAGCTATGTGTGGTTATATGACTAAGTTCTGCCAAAGAGATACAAACAAGAGGTGTGAGCAATATCAGGCCATGTTCTAAAGGAATGTTAGTGTGCCTTTCTCATTACTTTTTCTTTTTCCTATTGATTGAAATAAGAGCATGTTGACTAGAGCTGAAGCAGACATTTAGGCCCAACGGTCTGCATTTTAGGGACAATGGAGCAAAAAATTAGAAGGTGACTGAGCTTCTGATGATTACATCAATCACACCAACCCTAGATTATTTACCTCTGGACTAAGTTTATGTGTGAGAAAAACGAACTTTCACCTTTTTGAAATGTCTGTTTTTGGGGTTTTGTGTTAGATTGATTTTACTTTAATCTTAACTATTCCAAAAATATTTTTTAAATAGAGCAGAGTAAGGGACTAGAGAGTGACACCATGTGATATTTTAGACAGAGTGATTGGGGAAGGACTTTATGAGGAATCAATAGTTGAGGAGAGTCCTGAATGCATGAGTGAGCCAAGTGATAGGGGAGAGTGCGTTCCAGGAGGTGGGAAGTAGTAGAAGTGAAAGCCCAGATATGGGAACCTGCTTCTGTGTTCAAACGCCAGCATGGATGCCAACATGACCCAGCTTCCTAACCTCTTATCCTGTCTCCCAGACAGGAATCCTTGACTCCAGACTTGCAGAGATCAGTAAACTTTGCAGGTATTGTTCTCTGCAGGGTCTCTTCAAAGAGCATGACCCAGGCACAAGTCTAAGCTTTTACACAGAGAGCCTCAAGGCTCAACCTCTAACGCCCATTCTAAAATGCTTCCTGCTCAAATATTGCCAATTTTTCTGAACCGAGCGTTGGTTCTCACTCTTGCTTAAGGAATGGCACTATTGGTCCACAACACATTGCTTTCTTTCTTCTTGAAACTCCATAGGTAGTATTGACAATACTTTCATTTTAATAGTTAATAATCTATCATTCTGTTCTAATTCATGTGTGTATCTTTTGCCATGTCAATTAAGATGTAGTGTAAAAGCTACAAATTAAGAAGTTTAAAAAACCCCTTTGCGCTAGTATCTCTTCAAACAGAAGGTGCTCCATAAAAACTTTCTGCATGTTCATTCAACCATCTCACAAACTAGAAACACAATGGAGAGAACCTAATCTTTCTTGGTGCCTCCCTTTAGCCAGGAAGATATGAGTAGCTGAAGTATTTTGTGCTATATATAGTCAGTTGATGTCAGCTGGATGCCAGTCTCTTCAGAAAGGCTCAGTCCCCAGTTTGAGTCAGATCTAGGGACCATGCCGTCCCAGGCACAAGGATAAAAACCATCGGGCCCAAGTGCCATCCATATTCCATCTCTAGTTTTTCCTCCACAAATTGGGATTCATCCTGTTGAAAAGCACGGTCTAAGAGCAAGGTGAGTATACTGTATCCTAAAATGCTTTATTAGTCAGTTGTCCAAAGAAGTTCAGAGTTGTGACTCATTAATGGGAATTCTTTGCTTTAAGGACAGCTGTTGATGCTAATATTAAAATGCTACAGTCAAAGAGGTCAGGTTTAATCTGGTGTCCTTTCTTCATTCTTACAGTTTGCTGGAATTGATGTATTGTGATACTGGTACAAATGAAGGCCAGTAAGGAAAACAGTGACAGATTAAAATAAACTGTAGAAAACAGAGAGGGAGGGGAAAGGAGGCCAGCTCTTTCATTGTTTTTCATGGCCTGATAATCATTGTACTAGTGTAGAGATAAGACTGGGCCTGAAACTCTGAGAATCAGCCTCTGTTCACTGTGAGATTGCCTGTCAATGAATAGCACACTCTGTCCCCAGACTCGGAATGCGTATTAAAGTCTTTCAGTAGAAAGCAATAATAAACTCTTAATAAAGAACAAAGATGCTCTCTTTCAAAAGGATGATTACAAAACACTCCAAATGAGTTCTTCACATTGCCTCAATAACGTCCCTTTATTTTTAACAGGGAACAAAAAACCATGTTATCACATAATACCATGGTGAAGCAGAGGAAACAGCAAGCATCAGCCATCATGAAGGAAATCCATGGAAATGGTATCATTAAAAACTCTTCTTAGCATTGATATAGTTCAGCATTCATGTAGACCTTTCCTGATGTTATTTAATATTCTAAAGTTAAAACTTCCTTTAAATTCTTGCTATTCTGTCATAGCAAACCTGGAGCTCTAGGGGGTATAGAAAAGCCTATGGCAACTAATCCTTTTGTAGTCATCCTTTCTCATTTGAAAGCTATTTTCAGATGAACAACTGCTCTAAAGGAATGAAGCAATCTGACAGCTGATGTACATTCTGTTTGGCTTGCCTTTCACACATTTCATATTATAAGTTAATATCAGTCTCAATTTTCTTTTTATTTTTTTGGACAGGTCTCATACAATCTTGTCTTAATTGTCCATCTTACATGCTCTATCTTGATTTCTTTTATGTTATATTACATAAATCATTCAAGATCTGATCATTATTTTTTAAAACTAAAGCTATTAAATTGGAATTCATACTTACTGTGAACTTCTTTAACCCTGAAACCAGTCTTCATATTCAGTAATTGATTTACCAAGACATTTTGTGTGAAAATCTACTTTAACTTATAACTTCTAGGAAAATATAAATTACTTGTAGTCTTAAAGCATATGACTCAAAAAAATTTAATATAAATTAGATGCAAGATGATATTCCACTCTCTCCTTCTAAGCTCTAGCAAAAAACTCTAGAGAGCAGTGCCTTATACATTGCATTTTGATTGTTATAAATGAAATTCAACTTTGTTCATGAGCAAAGGATAATTAACTTTAAAAGTTAATAAGTAGGATATCCAAATCCTTTGAAGGGCTGATTTGAGCCATTTCAGGATATATTTGTGGAGTTTTCAGGGCATCTTCTTATTTCCCTTCTGTCGACAAGGAATGTGAGCTTTTACCTGAACAATATTGAGACCCAGAGGCATGAGATCTCGTGAAGGCAGCTAGGAACAGGCATAAGTGTAGCATTTTCATATTTCACCTTCCATAAAGTAACCTGAATAGAACCAGAGATTGTGTTAGATGCTCCTGTAGTCATATCTATAGAGTTCTGTTGTTTTGTTTTCTATTTTCTGAAATACAAAATCACCATACTGTATTCAACTTAGTCCCATGTTTTACTATGATGTCAAACTAGCTTGGAATAAAGTAAGAATAATTCTGAATCAGATCCCAGAACTAAATTTGTACCAATCCAAGGTTCCAAAATTCATGCTTCTTTTAAATTTTTATGCTACTTTGCATTTCCTGCTTCAGGTAGTTTACTTGAAATTTTTTTTACTAGTTTCCCTGATCAATAAGGCAAAGATCAGATAGTCATTTGAGTTTGAGACTAAACTATTTACCTTAAAACTAGGCTTGGGAAAACATCGTTTTCTAATTGCATCATAATCATAAATTAATCGATCCTTTTAATGTATTCCTAGTTTAAACCATATGCTGGATTCTACTCTTATTCCTGAAACAGACCCATAAGAGTAAGATCATTTTTTTCCTTTTTTATATTTTTTCCTTTCTTAAATATAAGTTTTGATTTTTATGAAGTATAACAAAAAAATATAACTATTATCTCAAGGAGGGGAGGCCCAAAACTACTATCTCACCACCAACAGGTCCTGGCCATGTAAAGTCTGCTGAAGCCCTCTCTCCCAAGTCACGGGTAGATTTCCAGCCCCTTAAGTGGAGTCACATGCTCTGCATTTGGAGGTCAAGTACTCCAGATAACACAGGGAGAATCACAGACTCTTTTTTAATTCATCTCAAATAAAATAATTCTAGTACTTTATGAAGCAGTTTAAATAATTTCTCTCTTTTCTTTCCTCTGACATCGTATATAGAACTTTATAGAACTTATATAGAAATTACAATTTGTATATGACATAATGTTTAGAGAGCTGGAGCTAGGGATGCATTATTTTTTCTAAGGAGGCAGAAATGAGACATGGAATGCAGAGAAACTTTTTCAGGAATAATTCTCCAAACTTCTAAATACTTCACAACAGTAAAAACCTGGCTCAATTAAGATAAAGCATGCAACTGTTTCAATCTTAATTGTCCTTTATAAAAATGAACAGAGAAGCTCTCCAAAGTTCTTCTCCTACCCCTTCTCCTCTTGTGCGCCAAGATTTTTTTTTGTAGTATTATAACTCATTTATTTTTTATATCACTTTTCAAAAAACATTTAGCCTGGAGGAGAATGAAACATGACAATGAGATGGCTAAATGAGTTGTGTTCTAAACATGAGCTGGAAGTTCAGTTCAGTTCTTGCTGTGGGGAGAGAGACTACAGACGGTGAGCCTTGAGGTGAATTAGCAGGAAAATACAAGAATCAAAAAGGAGAGTTTTACATCAGAGTACTCATTGAATCTGAAGGGGAAATAACCTCAAAGAATTACTGAGAAATCCTATCCATATAGACTAAAATACATAGAACTGGATAGCATAATTAAAAATGTAGATAACTCCCAGCCTCTACTAACTACACCCCAAATTGTTCACTCATTATAGATCCATTACGATTTGGTGTCAAATTATGTATCAGAAGCCACTATACTACACTCTCAACAAATAATTAATGAAAGTATCCTCTAACACTAAGGCTGTATACTTTCAGATTGACCATCCCCATCATACCATGATGATGATCATCAATATTTGAAATGTTAGAGCTGATGGTAGTAGCCATCATGTGTTACTATTGTGACACAAAACCTATAAGCTTTAAACAGAAGTATCAGAGCCATGTTGCTACCATTGAACAAATGCTATTCCAAATACAAAACACAAAAATATTTTGCCATTATTTGTGCATGAATTCGTTGTAGAGGCAAGAAAAGATAACATATTGGTTCCATGCCCACCATCCCTGTGCTATTTATTCCTGAATCTGTACATATTCTCCTGGTGATCATCATGGTCTTCTCTCACCCAGTAACTCTGAGACTTGAATACTGACGGAAGAGAGATAGGGAAGGCTGAAGGAATAGGGAGCAATAAGTCGACAGAGAAAGAGAAGAGGAAATGAGAATAGAAAGAGGAGAGGCACTCTAGAGCAATGGTCATCTGTCCAGAAATGGTGGGGGAAAGGAATTGAAATTAAAATAACTGTAAGAACTGGGAGTACACTGTCCCCTGATCTTAAGCACAGATAACTGCCCACAGTTTAGAAGAGCTTCAGAATAGGGAGGACCACAGCTGTTTCAGTCACCCTTCAGTTTTCTCACCTGGGCTCTGTGAGGGTTTTTTTTTTTTTTCATGTTTTTTGTTTGTCTGTTTTTTTTCCCTCATGACTGGTGAACAGCTTTTCCCAGCACACAGAAAAGGACTGAGCAGATTGTTTTTGCAATTTCAGGAAAAGAGTTTAGTCTGTGGTCTGAAAACAGGAAGCCAGGTTCTAAATGGAGTGCTGTTGTTGATATGGTACCAAGAGCCCTGGTTCCAGACCAGACATCAGCTTCCTTATTTGAAAATGAAGAGGCTGGACTTGTTGGGACGCCTAGCTTTAAAACTTCATGATATTGAGCTTTGCGCTAAAGTCAAACATCAGTGTATTTGAGTTTCTCCAATAATATAAACAATGATAGTACTGACATAAATTGCAGGGCACTTTGAAAAGCACACAGTATAAAGTCTTGACCTTTGAGTGAAAGATTACGTGAGGACCCCTTTGAATTTTCGTGTATAAGCATATCTTAGAGCGTACCGTAAGCATATCTGCAATTTATCAAGTCATCAATATAAAAATGAGGACACCTGAAGGCCTTAAGTACCACAGATCAAATGTAAAAAGTTTGGGGGTGAAAAAGAACTTAACCTAATGCTTCAATGTACAAGTTTGTTAGTTTTCTTTCGTTTAAACACATGAGCAGTCTTATAATCCCCCAAAAAAGCATGTTTTATTCTGAAAATTTGTGTTTAGTAATATCTTATGAAATTATGGATTTTCTAAACATGCCATAGATTTCTAAACCTCTAATAAGGCCCTCTAGCAAAGAAGCAGCTGAGAACTAGGCTAAATTCTAGTTTATATCAACGTTGCAATTACAGTGTTTAATTCTTGCCATATTCCATCACCCTAGTTTCTTTGTTGTATTTTTCACTCTAATATGCTCTAGATGTATATTCTATAAACATTACTAGTTTGTGTAATTCCATTTGCATAAATAAATAAAATGCATTGGTAATGTCATTTTTACAATGTTTATAGATTTACACACTTATTAAATGGTAGTGTTATAATTAACAGTAAATTTCTGAGAACTGCATCTTAAAAATCAAATCAAGGCAAGGAGATACGAAATAGAAAAATAAAGAATCCCATATGGGTTTCAAAATCAACTTTTTAACGCTGAGAAAATTATTAAAATTTATTAATAAACTTTCAGTCGAATGTAGTCTTTTCAAGCATTATTCAAAGTCACAGTCTGGACTATTAACTTTTATATAATATGTATATATGTATGTTGCAGTATGCTATAATATATATTTATGAACTATTATTCAATCCACATTGGCCAACTATCTGTGAACAGGCAGAAGAGTCCTGTGTAAGTGCAGAGAAAAATCTCTTGGTAAATTGATAGGACCACCCTAAAGAAAATCATTTTCAGTTAACTCCTTTCCTGTGGTTTTGCCCATTCTTACCAGAATTGCAGCTGCCATTGAATCACGGGGAAACTGTTTTAAAAAAATCTTTTGTCTTACTACAATTATTTGTGAATATTTTTACAAACTATGAATTGGATTCACTGACCTAACTAAATACGTAACTTTGACAGGACCAGAATTTCAAATTAAAAATACAGAACTACCTACATGCACACAAATCCTTGTTGACTCAGTTTCAGTGTTAACCTATGAAATAAATGTGAAAAGAAGAATGCTTCCTTTTACAGAAATTTAGGTCCAATGTCTGCTCATAAGATTAAATATTTGAAGTAAGGTTTGAGAAAGGAATTGATCACATTTTCAAAGATCACTGATATTCTCCCACTAAAATGCAATTTTCTATTTGGTTCTCAGTACTCAGGATTGTGGCTCCACAGTATGAAAAATGGAAGGAAAGTACATCCCATAATAAGAAACTTGAACTTTTAAAAAAATTCTATTTTTTTTAAATTGAACTTTTTAATATGAGTTTAAATCTTAGAGACAAAAATAAGGCACATTTGAGGACACTACTGAGAACAAATATTGGTAATAATTATTTAATATTTCTAGCAGATTGAAAAATGTGGGGGGTTTTGTGGAAATTAATTATGGTCAAGACTGTAAAGTTACATGTTAATTTTTTTGTTATTAGGTATTTAACTATTCAGAAATAATCACTGATTTCCCTAAAATAGTAGCAAACTATAATAGATTAAGGCCTATAAAATCTTTAAAGAATAAATGGAAAATTCTGGATCAACATAAATGACATCAAAAGGAAAGTATGCCTAGCAATATTATTTTCAATAGATGATCTAATGCCACAAAGACAACCTTCTAATCCATCAGGGCAAGGATATGTACCCTGAATAAATTATATCATTTATCAGGCATCCAGATTAAACATACTCTTAAGACCCTGCACAGAGTTTGCAATAAAGAGCAGGGAACAGCTGAACTTGGATTCTGTGTGCTCAGTTGATAGCATTTTTCACCCTGAAAGTTTAAGTAGTGAAAGTGTTCATACATTAGATTTCCTAACTCACAGATAATCCGGGACTCCAGCTCCAATTACATCATAAACTTTACTATTGGAAGGAAAGAGAAGGAAACCTTGGAGAATTTAGTTTATGTCTTTTATTGTTTGTTTGTTTATGAAAAATATGTTGACTTAACATGTCTCTTAGTATGCCTGTAAATATTTAACTGGTTCTTTGTGGGAGGAAATGCCTTGGTTTGTAGAGTTTGCCAATTTTTGCGTTATAAATACTCCTGCCATGGCCAATTTCAAGCTACTATTAAGGAAGCACTGAATGCAGAGCTGGGAATAGATGTGTAGTAATACA